AGAAGTAAATGGGTCGGACGTGGGCCAAAGTGTGGGGCTAATATCCGCCACCCCTTCCTTTAAAAGGCTGATAGTCGACATTTCGGAGGCCATGGACGAGGCTTTATTAAAAAAGAACAAGAAGTATATGCATGACCATCCCAGCGAGGCGGGCCCCATGGAACCGTATCCCCAGCACCGTGAAGAGCACAAATTTCACGACCCCCGAGTCCGGGATTCCTACCTGAGGAGACAGAAACTTGAAATTGAAGCCTCGCAGCGGGAAAACCGACCTTATATAAACCCTCCTGTCCTTTTGGACCCCCCAACCGATGACGAAGCCGACGTGGACCACCTTCAGAGGGTGGCAGAAAACTGGAATGATGATGAACGCACTTCAGACATAGAGTCATACGAGACCGAAGGGGAAGAGTCGAATGACTCATTCGAAATGGACGAGTCTTAGGCGTTATTTATGGTGTAGAAGGGGATTTCCACTGCTCAATCATGAGCATTGAACCCTTAGGGACCGCAGGTCCCGACAGACAGCAAGAAGCCTAACCGGCGCAAGGCGGTCCTGGATATCCACGGGTACCAGGATCCAGGTGAAGCTAGGGATGAGGCCGACGGCAGTACTCGAGGCCCAGCGGACCCAATGCTAAACTGTTTTAAAGCAGAAGGGAGACCCTCTTGCTCGACTTGGGGAAGGAAGGAGATACATTCTCATTCGGGACGAATGAGTCTTAAGGAGGGGGTAATGTTACGATTTGTTCATTTCTTTTCTTTCTTTTCCTTTTCTTTCTTTGACTCAGCCGGATTACGCACAAGCGATCATCACGGACTGCTTCCCACAGTACTATTTTTAGTGTACCAACGTGTATTTAAGTAGAGCCTTAGCTGGTCTAAACCCCAGCTTCGGCTAAGGTTTAATCTACCTAATAACGAACTCCATCCTTCGTGACTATCTGTCCCATCGACTTTCATCGCCTTTGACTTGCTAGAGCGTCGTCTACTGAAGTGCGAGTAGCGATCCTAGTATGATCTAAGTCGATAGAGTTAGTGGCTAACATAATACCCCCTTTTATACTGTATTATACTGGATCTATATTACGAAGGAAGATGTATTCTAGGGTTTTTATAGCATAGGAATCGACTGGTAATGTTTTCAAAGCGATCTGGAGCATGCTGCACCCTAAAAAGCGAATATTTTCGTTTATCTCCAGGAATAAAGTGTGCCAAGAGTACTGTGGAGGGGTTGTTTGGGTGTTTTAAAGGTCAGGGAATCGATTGGTGAAGTCCTCCAGCCGATCCAATGCATGCAGCAGCCCCCAAAAGCGAATATTTATGCGATTTTCATTATATTAACCTTTTATCCCACTATTCAGGGCTCCTATGCATCATTAGAGGGCTCTATTTTATGTTGTTTATGTCTATACAGATTATAGTGCTATCCCCTGGCCCAGCCAGTAGCCTGAGAATAGCCCAATAGCTATTTTGACCGGAAAATAGCCCCTATTTTGGGTATTAAAAATACGGCACTGCCACTGGATCCAGCCAAAATTGATGGGCTGATTTGGGGAGCCTAAAAAGGCAAAAGGGCGCACCAGAGCGGAGCAAAGGGAGGGCATCAATATGAGGTCATAAATGTTAAGGGAGGGAGGGTATATATAGAGATGAAAAGGTAAATATACAATGCCAGTATGGTGTAGTGGTTAGCATGTCTGCTCGAGAAAGTTATGTGACATTATTGGATTTATTTTTGAGGTCCCGGGTTCAATTCCCGGAATTGCCCTCTTTTCTAATGATGCCATCATTGACACAGATTGGGAAGCTTACTAAGCCACTTTGTCATCCTGATGGAATTACTGTATATGGGCTGGATGTAAACTGACACTCCTGATGTATCACAATTAACTGTCAACTAACACCTTTCAAACAGAAATCTAGCAGACCAGGCTGGTTGGACAAGTTCGAGAGTCCGATTTTGACCAAAGTGACCTGCCAAGATGTGGTCGTGATTGTTTTGGAGAACGCGAAGATGGAGATCATCGGCGTCCGGGACATAAATGCGACTGTCAAGACGTAGTAGTCCTGATTCGTCCACGGTCCACCAAGAGAAGTTGGAAGGGGAAGATGCGAGTCGGAAGCCTTTGGTGGCAGCGGAATCCAACGGCTGTGCATTCTTGATATCAGAGTGGAGCTTGTCGATGTCCATGATAGCACTAGCGTGTAAGACAGGACCTTCAAGGAATGTAGCGCGGAGTGAAGCGGAGAGTTGTTCTTGAGTGAAAACGGGTCAGAAATTGTGAGGATTGACTTGAGCATATTGACTATCCCCCTCTTTAGGGTAGACATCCCATCGTCTAGTGAGGGCATCCGGTTTCCCACCAAGTTTACCCGGTCGGAACCGAATAACAAGGTTGAATTGAGAGAGGAATTCAGACCAGCGCACTTGACGTCGAGTAAGGATCTTGGTAGTAGAGAAATACTCAAGGTTCTTGTGATCTGTAACGACATCAATGGCTTCCGTGGAGCCTTCAAGGTAGTGGCGCCAGTATTTGAAAGCTTCGAAGATGGCTAGAAGCTCTTTATCATGTGTATCGTAGTTGAGTTCAGCACCATGGAGACTCCGGGACAAGAAGGAGATGGGATGGATCTCGCCATCCTCTAGGTAAATGGATAGGATGGCAGCAATAGCGTAGTCGGACGCATTGGTTTCCACAACCAGTTGACGGTCGGGAAGCCAGTGGGTGAGGATAGGAGCATGAGTAAAAGCCTGCTTCAACTCATTGAAAGCGGATGGGCATTCTTCGTCAAATTTCCACGGAGTTCCTTTGTGAGTGAGTCGTGTTACCGGGTTTCCACAAAATAATGGGAATCGATCGGAGTTTTTTTTGGGTTACCATATGTAGCAATTCGGTTGCCACCGCTGTATTTCGCGTCTTCCCTTCTTACCACGACGTCGTTTTCACTATCTGACACTGCCGGCAACATGGGTATGGACCACGATGATTCCTCTTCAGTGATAGACCAATCTTTGGCAGGTGAATCTGCGAGTGATATTGATAGGGAGCTTATACAGGGCATGATAAGTGATGCTCCAGGTGCAGGTGCGCATGGCTAGTCTCTAAAGACAGGCGCATTTACTGAGCTATGATAGCTGCAAAATTCAAGGTATCGACGCCGCTTACAGTTGCCAGCAACAACACCAGCAAAAGGAAACGATCCATTCAAGCTGGCGCATCCGATGAGCAACCCTCTGCTAAACAATCAAGATCAGCCTCCGAAACCGACGATGAAGCCTTCGAATTTGTCAACTACGTATACATTCGCAAGAAAGACCCTCCAAAGGCTCGAAAATCAACCAGCCAGTCGAACGGCAAGATCAACTATGACCTCTACATCGAAAAAGGCCCCTTCAAATTCATGTCCAACAAGTCCTTCGAAGACTACATCACTGCGATAGCAACTACGCTCCAATGCCACAGGTCGAAGCTCATCCTGGACGAGCTGAAGTACAAGCAGAAGGTCCCTCAAACGTCACAAATCCACTCCCTCACAAGTGAACTCGCCTTCACGGCATTGGTCGAGGAGATGCGTGCAGCGAAGACAGTCAACAAACGGATCATGTATGTCTTCTCTCCAGCACCCATGCGTCCAGCTTCAGATGAGGCGGTGAGTGGTCTACCAATTTTGTCTTTTTCTGCCTAACGTTCCCACAGTGGTGGACGACAACCAATGAAGATGGACAAGAATCTGCGCCTTCTGGGTTCGATTTCTCACAGCTCGAATGGCAGGGAACTGAAGATTCTATTGCCACGCAAAAAGTAGGTACTCTTGTTCGTTCGTACTATGGGCTAACGCGTGCAATGTAGAAGAAATTCGACGAAGCAGTGAGGCCCTTGATAGTCAAACTAGAGGAGAAGTTCCCAGTGGACAACTTTCCGACGCTTTTCCCTGGGCGACGAGTTTATAAGAATACGGCTGGATATTACTTCGACTTGGACCCTGGAGCACTATCTTCCTGGGCGTCGCACTGGGTAAGTATCTCTCTTTACAAGAGAATATGATTCTAATTCACACCAGGCTCGGGGAACTGCTTCCGAAGATGCTCCTCCGAACAATGCCTATTTCGATGCAAAGAAGCGCCTACATCCTCCCAAAACGCCCCCTGCCCATGCCGACACTGCAAAGCAAGCTAATAACACTGCCCCCATGCCGATTCCCACCCCAGCTGTTCCGACTATTTCTGATGTGCCTTTTGGAGGAAACCTCCTAGAATATTTTCTTCTTCAGCAGCAGCAGCAGCAGCAACAACATCAACAATTTCAGCAAATGCTTCAGCTACAGATGTTGCAGAATACCCGTAGCTCACTGAGCCGTCCCCCTTCCATTCCTTCTGCTCCTCCTTCTCCCGCCAAGATGCCAGTTGTCTCACTGGAAGCGTTTTGTGCTCATTACGGAGTCAATGATACTGATCACGACCGCCTGCAGGAGCTTGGTTACACCCCTGGCAACAAGGACATCAAGACTCTTGAACAAGTTGACTGGACCGGCGTTGGCTTTCCGGCGTTATCGTGGCGTTCAATCTTGGCGAAGCATGACGCGTTCATCAAGGATGCAAAACTGGGCCTGTGGATGGAATGATTGTATGCGTCCTAGTCTGTCTCTGTTCTCTTCGTTGTCTGTACCGCTTTCTCTGCTGTCTGTACTGCTTTCTCTGTTGTCTTTGCAATTGTACCACGTGTTTATCGCTTTCCTTGAATCATGTATCATTTCTTGTCGCTGTATCACTGTACGTTCTTATAATCGAAGTCTTTAAAATATATACCCTGCATGTTTGAACCATCCAAATGCCATCTCTGCAGTGATACAACCACACGCGTCTAAAAGAACCAGAATAGGGTCCTCGTCATCACGGAGAATTGGCCCGTTTCGTCTCAGATAAGCTTTCCCTGTTTGAAGATCAATTGAATTGTTTCTGTGGGGAGAGCAGGAACGTACATGTGCTGAATGATTTTTCAATCGGGTTGAGGTCTGGAGAATAAGGAGGAAGATACAATATCATAACATCTGGATAGATCAGAGAAATCTTTGGTGACTTTGCGAGAGACTTACGAGACGCATTGAGTACATCAATCAAGGTGTCGGTATGATGAATCCTGCAGTTGTCCATAACTAATACGCTCTGCTTCTCTGGGTACGGGTTCATAAGCGGTAGCTGTTCACATTGATGATCCATGAGAGACCGAAGGAATTCATGAATGTACTCACAACATCTTCAATGATGAAATCAAAGAAACCAAATGAGTCGAAGGACCCTGGTTGTACCCGCGTTGCAATATATCCATCAATTGACATAGCCGCAATCAGCGAATACCGCTCGCCTCGGACAAATACATCTCCCAAATCTGCCTCTTGGCCAATTGGTGAGCGACCATAGTGGCGACCAAATGTCCTCTCATCTTTACTGGACTCATCCACAGTGACAAACTCAAATCCAGTCCCTGAGAAGTTGACCGGGTTAGTGACTCCTGCTAGATATACAGCCCGACGCTGCTCATCCTGTTCCAAGGCAATCGTGTGGAGAACTTTACGAGTCAGTCCAGCTCTGACAAGATTCTGTTGGAGTGCAGAGATGGATATAGGAAGATCATGATGAATTGCTAGGTACCACTGTAGCTCGCCAAGATAGGTATCAGGATGGGATTTCAGAAGGACATGGATGGCGTCAAGGGCCGCAAGGCTAACAATACGTGGACGTCCACGGAAGGGTGCCAGTCGATTTGCAGGTGTCCCGAATGTTTCGAAAAGGTTACGCCAGTGGTAGAGGCTGCTAGGTGAAACGTGAAAGATATGGCAGATGTCGCTCAGCTCCCATCCTAGAGTCCAAAGTTCTAGCACTATGTCCTTGATTTGAGTTGGAATATGATGATTTCCCATGATAATAAGTGCAAGATGTAGGCAATAAATGCTACGATACGTCACAAGAAGAACCAGTCGTCGTGGTAAGAAGGGAAGACGCAAAATACAGCAGTGGCAACCGAATTGCTACATATGGTAACCCAAAAAAAACTCCGATCGATTCCCATTATTTTGTGGAAACCCGGTAAGGGCAGGACGATCTCACTGTACTCGTGAATAAAACGGCGGTAGAAATTAGCAAAGCCGAGGAAGGATTGGATATCCTTGACCTTGCGTGGAACCGGCCAGTCAGTGATAGCTTTGACCTTGTCTTCAGACATGCGTAAGCCTTTGGGCGAGAGGATGTAACCAAGATATTCGATGGAGTCCCGATGGAATTCACATTTGGAACCCTTGCAGTAGAGGCCATTGGCTCGGAGTCTGCGAAGGACTTCACGTACGTGTTTTCGGTGATCGTCGGGATTGTTGGAGTAGATAAGGATGTCATCAAGGTATACGACGACAGATACATTGAGCATATTGGAAAAGATGTCATTGACAAAGCGTTGGAAAGCCACGGGAGCGTTGGTGAGTCCAAATGGCATGACACGCCATTCAAAGGAGCCATAGCAAGTCCGAAACACGGTTTTCCATTCATCACCCTTGGCTATGCGGACGAGATGATAGGCATGACGAAGGTCTAGCTTGGTGTAGAGACAAGCGGAATGCGTGGAATCGAGGAGGTCGGAAATGAGGGGCAAAGGGTAACGGTCTTTTTTAGAGATTTTATTAAGTCCACGATAATCTACACAGAGTCTAAGTTCACCGGTTTTCTTCTTGACAAACAGTACCGGAGCTCCGTGCGGAGAGCGGGAAGGAGTGATGAAACCATTATGGACGTTATCGTCAATAAACTCGTGTAAGGCTTTTAGTTCAGATTCAGAAAGGGAATAGATGGGTCCGAGTGGAGGGGTGGAACCTTCCTCAATATTGATCTTGAGGTCGTAAGGGCGATGCTCAGGGAGCTTTTCAGAAAGGGAATCACTGAATACATCAGCAAATTCATGGTACTCCGGTGGGACATTGGATAGGTTAGCGGGAGCCACGGAGGTAGACTTGCCACTAACACTAGGCGTAGAAGGCTGCAATGTGAACTGCTGAGCCCCTTCTTCTGCACAAGCTCAGACAAAAGCGGCAGCCGAAATAATAGATATCTTGGGGGCGGCCGAAGCACCAAAGGAAGGAATGGTAGGATAGGAGTAGATAGGTTCATAAGGCGGCGGAGCCCATCGGGATCTCGATTTTGGGGTGGAAGATGATGATTGGGATGGTTGGATTGGACTGGAAGAGTCCGAGCGGACTGGCACATGTGTGTCGGCAGCCGCGGAAGCGCTTGATGAAGAAACAACCAATAATGGTGAACGGAAAGTGATACTGTGCTTTACCCAGTCAATTGACGGATTGTAGCAGGAGAGCCAGTTGTATCCCAGAACGATGTTACAAGATGAATCTAGATGAGTGACGTAGAAGTCAATAGGAAGGATGTCTCCGGAAGGGAAACGGATTGGAAGGGAAATGGATTGGGAGATGTGAGATCTGACGGAGCCGTCGAGAAGCCGAAGTTGGACAGGTGGGATAGATTTGGTAAGGAGATTGTGATCCTCAACATACTTTGAATCAACAAAGCAGTGGCTAGAACCAGAATCAACGAGTGCGAGAAAACGAAGGATAGTAGAAATGAGTGAACTGTCAGACTCTGATCCGGAGCCGACTTCGGACGAGAGAGAGACAGTTAGGGAATGATTGGAAAGAGCAGCAGTGTTGAGGGTTACGATCTCCAGTGCACTGTGACAGTCAATGCAACCCTGTCCTAGTGCGGAGGATACAGGGTTGCTCTCTAGTTTTCCGATTCTGACGGAACCATTTCAATGGAGGCAGTGAACTCGGGAGCAGGGGCAGGAGTAGCTGCAGCTGCACGGCCCCGAGCGGAGGCCGTGGCTTTGCGCTTGTTGCAATCTTTGGTGTTGTGCTTACCTCCACAGAACATGCAGAGGTTATTCTTCTGACGGCGGTCCTTTTCTTCTTGAGTAAGGCAGCCATCTTTGCCTAGCTTGTCAGCGTAGGGCTTCGGGTTGGAAGAGGAAGAGTTGTTGGGGGAAGTCGAAGATGATCCCGTGGAGCCCGAGTGGGAGGACTTTTGGCTCGCAGAGTTGGAGTTGGAAGACGAAGAGTTAGAACCTTTTGACTTGTTGCTGTTGCTGGAAGAGGAAGATGGGTTACTGCAATTTTCTTGGGAGATTTCGGCTTTCCGAGTCCAGTAGCGAGCGTCGAGCTCTTGAGCGAGATTCCGCATATCACGGAGATTATCGGGTTTCCCGTGGTGGGCCATATCATCCTTGATGCGAGAGCAAAGGCCATGGTAGAAGGCATGATGAAGGGAGTTGTCGCCGTAGCCAATAATGGCAGCATACTGATTGAATTTGACAATATACTTCATGATGTGGTCTCCGTCATGCATCCGAAGATTTTCAAGCTCATCTTCGGCATCACCAACAGCGTCGAAGGGGCCAAAGTTGGTGCGGAGTTCTGAAAGGAAAGCGGTATAGGAATATGCCCAAGCAGGGGGGTTGCGGTGATTAGGGTGGAGGATATCCGGTTCGAACCAGTCAAGGGCGACACCGGAAAGGAAGGAGATAGCATAGTTGACTTTTGCCGTATCCGATCAGAAGGCGTCAGGATGGTCGTTGAAGTTCAACTGGAGGGAGACGATGAAGGCCTTAAGTTTTCGGGAGTCCGAACCGTCAAAGGTATCTGGTTCCTTGACCTTGGTGCGTACTGTACGTTGTCGATTGCCATTGACAGCATCAGAGATGCCGCGGAGGACATTCATGAGTTGAATCAGGATCTGGGCATCGTTATTGGGAGGATTAGGATTGTTACCAGGATTGTTGTTAGGTCCTCCTCCAGGACCACCAGGACCACCAGGACCTCCAGGGCCACCTGGATTGGGTGGGCCACCACCAGGATTTCCCGATGGGTTTCCATGGCCATTTATTGGCGTGTGAGGGGGGAATTCCCCGTCTTCCGAACCTTGGTCGTCATCGTCATCCCGACCTGGGATGTCATCGAACAGAGAGGTAGTTGGGTTCCGTGGGGGGTCACTTCGATACTCACCCCAGCCATTGGATTCTGATCGCTGGGCTAGGAAGGGGTTAGGCAATCGGTTAACATCGGATTGGCGAGCAGTGAAGCCACTGTGAAGGTAGGTTTCCCTATGGGATTGTTGGCGAGGGGCGGAATCCGATCCGAAGAGAAGGGGACCCTCTTTTGAAGCAGAGGCAGGGATATCGTCCATGGTGTAGGTTCGGTTGTTGACCGTGGAGTTGCGGCTGGTTTCTGGAGGAACAGTGAAAGTAGAAGACATGGTTAGGAAGAAATTTCGACTCAAGGGTTTGAGTTCGAATATACTGTTAGGATCGTGCCAATAGGATTGCAGCGGTAAGTGCACGTAGCGGAATGCCACGGGATGCGTCGGGCATAGGCGAAGCTATTAGCAACGTCACCCCTGAGCCGAAGCCCTAAGATGGATACGGACGGAAGTCCGCGGAGTGGCAGGGACGAGGTAAGAGATAAGTCCAACGGATCGGAGTTCCACGGACTGGAGAACGAGAGTTAGACTTTAGAGAGAGAGAGAGATTGGGCTGAACCAAGTTGATATCCAAACTGAGTATCTACAGTGTAATTCTAAGGCTTATATACTAGTTAGGAGTCCGATCTAGTTCCTACTCAGAGTGGTCTACATTCTAGGGTTGTCGGAGGATGTATTCTACTGGTCAGTAGCCGATGGAGTCTGATGACATGTTCGCTACCGATGTCAGGCTATTGATAAATTGTAATGGAGAGTGAAATATAAAATGGAATATGAAATAGAAACTGGGAATCGGAATCCATAGGATTCTGGGCTGTGGTTTGTTGGGTTGAGTGGAAGTCGGGTTTCCGTCGGCATGCTTGTTACAAAAAGTGAGATCTCCTTTCCAGTCTCTCTCTGATATACAGCCTCAAAATCTTTGCAGATTTTTCTTGCACCTTTCCGAGGAGCACCAGGTAGTTTGACAAGCTCATTCTTGTATGCAATCATTTGCAATGACTGCCTTTTCCATTAGCTGGTCATGGCATTTGCAAGCAATCTGGCACTTTTTCGAGTTTGATTTGGCATGTCCAGGCATAGTAAAAAATTAAGCAAGAGGAGAAATAAAGTTGGGAGGCAGCAGGGCAATAATGGATGCATTGGACTGTCAGACTGCCCATCAAAGGTGATGGCTTGGCAGAACCGCACTTTTATTTATGCCCTAGACTCCTCAGATAATGGCTGCTTGGTCTCAAACCTGTCATACAGGTTCTTCAGAAGGTTATTAACATTATTGAGGCCTTTGTGGGTGATTACATTCAGATGGAGGACACATATTTCCAGGTCAGATTTTGAGTTCATGAGAAAACAGATATTTTTAGAACAGAAGCCTCAATTTCTCGGAATATTATTCATGTCACATATGAAGAATCACTGCAGAACATGAAGATACAATACACATCAGCAATGTAATACAAGTTGATGATGAAGGATGAAGGGAGGGAGAGCAAGAGGCTAAGTGTTTCATTGAACCATGGTGTTGCAATGACCAGTAAATAACTGTACTCCTGGGACTTATTGGCTACTCGCCCATTGGCCAGCGGGAGTGGGCACAGACAAAAAGGGAAATGATATACCATTTGGCCCTGCCAGAATTCCGATGCCACTAAAGGCAGCACCTGCTGCTGACTGGTTCTCCTGGTGTCTGTGGAATCACTGCCCTGTCGACTGCCCTGGAGTATTCATCATGCACGATGGTCCCATCGTATGCTCAACCATTGAGGCTTGGCAACTTAGCCGGTGAAGAGGCTGGCTGTGGGCACTTGTGGAATAGTGAGCAGGCTAAAAGGCAAACCTCAAAAACCCACACACACTCACACAACTACACAAACTACAATCACCCTCATAAGTTCTAGGGGGAGCAATTATTTCTAATGCAATCCAACTATACTTCAATATCTCGAAGAGTTTCTCTTATTCTCAGCGCTCTTAGTGAAGCTAAGCTTTCTCTAATGAATTCCTAAGTCTAGGAACTTTTTACAGGAAGGTCGTTCACTGGCACGATGCAACCTTCAAGGCAGATTTGAGTTATAATACACAAGGGACACTGATCCTGACAGAAACAGAGGCAATACATGCTGAAACTTTAGTGAGCTCGCTAAAAGAACACCACAGGCAAGCACTGACTTAGCCCACTCGCTACACAACTGTATGTAGGGGTTCTCCAACTAACTCCAGCAGGTTATCTCGACTCAAGAACACTTCAGAAGCGCTCGGAAACAGATTCAGAAACGGAACTTCAAACAGAACTGACACGGAACAGACTGAAACAGAACAGAACAGAACACAGATTTCCACTTCAACACATTCTCCGAACAGACTTATCACACTTAACAGAACAGAAACAGCGTCACTGATTCATATTCACTCTGACTAAGCTCTCAGAAGTCTTATCAAAAGGGTATCTCGTATTTCTCTGAGTGAGCTCACTAATTCTATGCACAGCTCAAAGTCACAAACTGATCCTTTGTTACAGTACCGCCTTCAACGCGTGCATGGGAACTCAGGGGCTCGAAACTTGGCCTCTACCTACTGTAACCAGCCTACTTATACTACAGGGGAATTAGAATTACAAACACCGTGCAGTACCCAGACTCCTACATGCGTAGCACATTGCCACCACCGCCTTACTGAGCATCCGAGTCGGACTTCCCAGTTTTAGTCTCATTTCTATAGTGAGCTTGCTAAACGCGTGCCAAGAGGTGCTCTCCCGACACCTGCGGGCTTGTTCTCTAGCGATCAACAGGTCTAGGTGCACGGAACTATCAGTTCTGGCATATGTCATTCAGGACTTCTTTCTTGGATTCACAGAGGCTTCTCATAGACATGGCAACAAGTGAGTCTTTGAACAATGGGACTCAGAACAATGGAACGTGGACTTCGGCCAAAGCCCATTGCCCAAGCTCGTGCTGGTGATATCTGTCATCTCGCTTAAGGATTTCCCTGGATTTTCAGGTACAGCGCATCACAGTTAGCGAGCGCACTAAGTGTTCTCAGTGTCAGTGCAATCTTCAAGGTTTTATCTAGCTCCCATGAGTGTGCTTGTAAGTTAGAGCCTAAGGCATTGGATATAGGGTTTGGCCTTCTCATCATGCATGCCCATCAGGTACAGTGCTGTGACTAAGTCCTGTTTAGAATCCCATTGCTTCTTATGCCATAAGTTATATTCCATATCATTGCACCACGTAGCATTAGTGTCGATGCATAGTTTTAGTCTGCTCACTCACTATCTCTCAGTATGCATGTAAAACACTCTAGATTGCAAAATTACACACATAAATAGGCTGCAGTCGCAACACCGGGATCTGACTCCCATCCAAGTAGCCAACCCTCACCTCTGCACATGCTTCACTGAAATCTTCGTGATGCTCACCCTGCACCCAGGATGGTATGGTCAGTTTTTGGACCACCATTCCATCCCTGTCACCTCAGAGTACAACCCATATACGTGTTTCCCTGGGAACTGGATTCAGAACTTGGACCTGGCTGCTCTTTCTCGTTTCCTTGTGGAGCGAGGAGTCGGCCGAGAGAGTATGAATTCCTACCTCCTATTTGGCAAGACCTGGGCTACTTGCATGCTCATGCAATGCCCGAATCAATCCAGTTATTGGCAACAACAGCTAGATGCGAGTCATGACTGGATCAAGGCTGTTGGGTATGAGGAACCTTCATGGTACGATGCCCCTTCCTGGTCCCCTCCCCTTGATGAAGGGTGGGACCTCACCTGGATCGCCAAATACTGAAAGGGACACATGGATAAGTGGGCGAACGAACATCGATCCGATGCTCCTGTAACCAACACTATCTCAGACCTGCCACCTGCCGCTGTGGTTCCCCCAGATGTCGCATCCCCCAGACTTAGTGGTGTTGGAGGTGACCTTTCCATTGCCCTCAACACGGGATCGACTTCGGTAGCTGGTCCATCCAACAGTGGGCCACCTTCTGAATCTACAGTCAGCCCCATCGCACCTCAGGCTAAGGATGTACCGCCCAATAGTGGTGCCCCTTTGTCTGAGACTGCGTCGCACGATACTCAAGTTCCCGACTCTAGTATGGGCACAGCTGGCAGCGCCGACAATGGCAACACTCAAGTGGATGACGGCAGTGACACTATCATGGTTGATCCTGACCTTCAACTCGCCGCCTCTGTTCCCTTGCCGCCCGGCGACGATGGTCTGTAGGATCTTCATCAATTCAAAACTTATTTTCGAGACCATGCAACGATCTGGTGGGGGAGGGTGTAACGGGTAGCACCATTCTTGGACATGTCGGCCTGTGGTATCCGTTTGTGTGGCTGCGGCCTCTTCCGTTACTATATTATAGTGCAATCATCTAGTTTTACTTTAGTCTTTTTACCATCACACATAGTATAACTTCAATCTATAGGTTGTCGTGTTCTATCGCGTGATATAAGACTCCGGCTCTACGACGAGCCCTTACAGATGGCCCATAATATTATCATCCAATGGAAGACAGAATTCCCAGCTGATATATCAGTTAGTAGTCAGTGCAACACCTTAATCAAGCATTCAGAGCACTGTTAGGAGAAATCCAGGTAAGAGAACAGCGAAAGAGTTGACAATGAGAGCGAGATCATAAAGGCGTGAAAGATCCCGGTTGCCCAAGATCAAGATGCCATATCAAAGATAAAGCTCCCGAAAGTGGTCTAAAAAAAGACAAAGTTGTCAAAGACGAAGTTGCCCTTTTCCTGATGTATCGTCGCTTGTGTTCAGAAATCATTCAATCAGCCAAGACAGGAACACTCGAATGGATACTGAAGGCGAGTTGTCATTGCGTACAACACCAGACTTGGAGGAAAGCCTAGAGGAAGGCTCGCAAAGCAGGGACTACGGAATAGTAGAAAATGCGTAGCATATATGTATTGTCCCTAATTTTCGAATTACATTTTATTTCTTACTAGTTTGCCTTCGATGCCTGGACTGTCACCTTTTCTACGCGACAACGCCAACAAGATCTGTTACCACGACACTGTTCACGATGAACCATCGAACAGAGTATTTGTAGATATACTGTTGGACGACCATGGCCTTTGGCAACAACGATGACCGGTCCCTCCCTCGGCACGAGCTACCATGGTGGATCGTTCCTCCCGAGCTTCCTCCATTGTTCCACATCTTGAGTCTCCTCATCGACACTACAATCTCGAGCCAGCTAGGCGGTGCAGAGTTGCCAGTTCCGTTCGTGAATCATGTGCCGTGTACATATACAATAATTGCGTAGCAACGTCGAGCTGTATCTACAAGCCTCATTCAGTTTCTTTTCAGAACAGAGAAAATCGTTTCCAAAACTCACTTTTCGAAGCTTGCAAGCCTGTGAGTAGTCCAGGTAAACCTTGAGGTATGATTGCATCAGTGAGGTTGACTACGAGGCGAGACAACGGTACCAATGCAACTACTGATCCTCTCATCAGCTGCTCTTCATCAAGGAGAAATTATCACAGAGTGTCGCATAGGGCGTCGTTGACGGCAGGACTCAGATGCGGTGGTGATTGTGGAAGGGAAAGGAAGGACCGATCATCGGAGGGACAGGCCCGGAGGTCCCGGAAGAGGATACGTCACGTCACGTCACAACTCTCCTTGCTTGGCCCGGGACCTCTCTGGACCTTCTTGGACCTCCATATCTGCGACGACTCGATACCTGCACTAGAATTCCTCTCTTCCTGCATCTGTCTTTCAGCTCTCAGGTCACGAGCTAATATCCTGGGATTCCGAAGAAGGAGGGGTGAGCTATCTGATCTCTTTCTGTGCTTGAGCGAAAACATTGTACAGGCTCTTTCTCGGGCTATTTGTTTTAATGTTTTCCCTAATGTCAATATTCACCCTCGTAGTGGCGCGAGATATGCGTAAGGGTGTGCGTGAAGAAGTGGACGCAAACTACTAGGTGCGTCCTTCCTCTTGTTGTGTTCTTCCAATCCCGACCACGTTTATAGGTCCCAAGATGCCCAGCCCGCGACTCGCTATAGAGGGAAAAGCATCCACTTCTTAGCACTGAGAATTGTATGTTAATGTGTTGATCTAGGCGACGAGTTTCCAAGGTAGCATACACTACGGATCCGCCATTGAGGCGGATTGGCTCCAGGACCCAGCTTAAACTGAAACGTAGAACAACGATATATGGTGTTACCCAGGTGCGATGCATATAATTTTGTTCTTTGGCCGTAATCTGAGATGTTTGATAGGCCCGTTTGGTATGGATAAAGGTCTGGTGGCTGGCGAAGGGTCCTTTTGGAGTCGACGATCTATACGCGTTTCTTACTGAGCCTTCACTGCATCAGTACTCGCTCCCTTCAAATGGAGCTTGATGCGGATGCGGACCGCGACTCGCTTGTGCTAGCACAACTTGTAGTGCCGAGCGTGGAAAGCTCTCTTTCCGGTTTCAAGATCGCCTTGGACAAATGATTACGTACCCAGAAAACTCTTGGAACGCGACACCGCTGAGCCAACATGATCATTACGATCGTCCTTTTTTCAACCGGCAGTCCTTGGCACCCACCAATACCAATACCATATATGCAGTACAAAACGCCAGCGGCTATTGCCTTAATCGAAGACACGGAACGGTTCGTTGTGGTTTGGAAATCGCCAATCTTTCTCTTTTTGGGAAAGATCGCCTTGGACAGTTCATGGGATGGCCATCGCCGAGCCAATGTGATTGAATCGGATGTCCTTGGCTCGAGAATATGCGGTGTATCATTTCTCGCTTTACAACCCAGCTTTCATTCGCGCTCTCCATCCAACCTGGATTTCACCACTCAAAGCAAGGTTCTTCTGAGGTTTGGCCCTTGAAATGAATGTTGCCCTGCTTTTTCCTTACCCGCACGCCTCCCGACCTCATGTCGAGCATTGTCTTACTCTGAATGCTTCGCCCTTCACCTGTGCAATAAAGAGGCTGCAAAGAGGCCTCTATTCCACAGACAAACTCTCCATCCCCGTCTAACCACCTTTGTCTACTCGTTAGCACTTAACTCATTCGTCATCATGCGCTTCTCACTCACCTCACTCGCCCCTCTTGCTGCCCTTGTCGTCCCCGGCCTCTCCGCCACTATCAACGCCCGCCAGCCGGAAACAGGGAACAACACCATCCAAGGAAGGGACTACTATGGTTCTTACGCTCCATAGAAGCCGTCTTATACCTAGCCAGGAACAGACAAGCATTGTCCAACAGACGTTCCGGAGTGCTGTCCTTGCCTAGACGACGTACGTTTTTCTTCCTGCTTCTCTTCTCCCGGTTCTGATTAGCTCCGTACAGCCCGTCTGTGGATTCAAATGCCCCTCCCAATGGCCCTACAATAAGTGCACCTGGGAGCCTGTATTCGTCGACAGGTATGACTGGAAAGGCTGGAAGCCCGGCAAGCGTAACCCATTTTCCTGCGGATATGTCGACAAGGTGACTTATGAGATTGGTACGCGTGTCTTCTTTCGTGATCTAGGCTTTCTTTTTACTTATACTACGCAGACTGCAAGGACCTTTGCTTGGCCCACGACAATTGCAACTCTTGCCAAGGTGTGTATCTGAAACTCGTCTTCTTTTGACCGTTTATTGACTGAGGGTCTTCCTTCTAGTCTATACACTTGGGGAAGCGGCCGAGCAGTTTATTTGTGCGCTCTTCGAGGAAATCGTTCATGTCACCACCTGGGAGGATGACTGTGAGGATGATTGGGTCGACGATTGGGTGTATTATAGTTCATCGTACTAGAACGTCTATTACTAAGCAACGTGAAGTTTATCTTGACTCGGACATTGGACATGTACGATTATTGGATTTTTTTGTAGGGCCTTTACTAAATGCATTCAGTTGTCCCTTTGTGACCGCAGAAATGGATTTTGACTTGCCTATACTCAGTCCTGTTCCCAACGTGGAAAGCAACGTCGTAAAATACGAAAATCTGAGTTAGGGAACGATTAGAACTGGTTCCTTCACTAACTCGCATATATTCCAGGTTTCTTGTACTTGGTGCGTGTTCGATCGAGTACTAATGCTTCTAGCTTCAAGTACGAGCGAGTCACAGCCTCATCTTGGTTCGAATTTGGCTGCCCAGATGGCAGATGGAGCATACCCCCAGTCAGGTGCTTCAGTTGTACTTGCTAACACTGGATTACAACCCAGCGAATTCTTCGCAAGTCCAATGTCCATAGGAGACAGTCAACAACGAGGAACTTAAGAGACCGTGCGCCTTGAGGCTTGATGTGCTGTAAAGATCACGCATCCAGGTTATCCATACAAAATCGTTTGTACGAGATAATTACCGGTATGCGATAAGCACACTGAATGAGCCCCAATTTCAGCCGTTGGACCTCAGATTTACATCACGGGCCATTGTAAATTACGAACCTGCCACCGTTCAAGACGAACGTACAGGTCTGAGCGAGTCAAGACTCGATGCGAAAATAACATCGATGTCAACTTCGAGAAGACTTCAAACCGCGGTCCAACATACACTGTGCCGTATGCTCTTGTCCCTCCTCAGTGGAACAAACTTCGATCAAACCCCGCGTTGCTGTCAAAACTTCCTTATTGAATACTGATGGCCGCTCCCCTCGTTTTCCGGGAAATAATTTTGATCTCCACTACCCAGAGTCTATTCGAATGCCAGCTCTTTTTCAAATCAAGTGCCGGACCGCCATAACATAGACAGAATTTCGGTCGGCAGCCGTTAGGTCTCCACTGACATGCCCGAATGCTCACCTTTCAGAGGTTCAGGGTACCCCATGCATCTCGGCCTTCCTGAAACTCATCATTATCTGGGTGTGATCATGATGGGCCACAGCGGCTGCATCGAATGTCTTTGATAATGGTGATTTCAATTTATTACGTTGTGCTAGGTTTATTCTACATAAAACACTGACTTTTTAGTAGCAAGTATTAGAACCCATCCCTGCTCTTCCTTCAAGGATCAATGCTCCCCAGAACGTATAGTGCCGGGACACCTATCCCAGAGTTAACCAACAGCGAAGTCCAGGACATCTTCCAATGCCTGGATCGATCATTGAACGGAGCGGTCTTCTGCGCATCATTACATGGTCAGAGTTGCTATCCACTTCCACTGAACTTCCGGCGACTCATTATTTACAGGATTTTACACCGGAATAGTGGGCATAACAATGTGGACCCTTGGTTCATGCATTACTCCCTACCAATAATACACCATTCTGACAAGTTGCAATCCTGTGTAGTTTCAGGCAAAAACCGCCAAAATTCTCGGGGGCCACATTTCTTCATTGCCATTGTTCTTCTTTTATATGCTATGGCTACTTTTGCCCTTTTCTGCGACTGGATGAGTGTTAGTCAAAATTTCATCACCCATGGGCAAAACTTCTCGACGACATATGAAGCTTATTCAGTGTATGCATCTATGCCAATGGTCTTAACAGAGAACATCAATGCTGCTCTGAGCACTCTCCTGGCAGACACCACTTTGGCATGACGTCTCCTTTATTTTGGAAGCGGCCTTCTCATAATTAATTGTAGATTTGGCGTTGTTGGAATGTTTGGGGACGGTCTTGGCGCGCTGTACTCATTCCGATCATCTGTACTACTATGGCACTCAGTAAGTCTGTGATGCATTTGGTCTGTTACCGGTACCCGCGACTCATCGTCGTCCCCCAGTTAGTAGAGGAATTATACTCTACGATAACGTTTTCGGCAACGTACAGCATCCATCCGACCTTTTCACCCTGAATTCTGTCAACTGGGCTGTGCTATATTCCTCGCTCATCATGGCCACCCTACTATGGTGCACCATCTTGATTATATATCGCATCTTCAAAGTTAGTGGCGCTGCCGAAGGACTTCGCTCATATCGCAGAGTGATAGGGGTCATAGCAGACTCGGCCTTCCTTTACTCGGTTTTCCTAGTTGTCCTGTTGGTGTTTGAAGTTCGTAATGACGCCAGAGTCGGAAGCTATTTGATTCTCGTAACCAGCGAGATGAAGGTAATTGCATCCAGCATCCATTAATTCAGCCTTACCATTTTGACCGTAACATCTTTAGGGAATTGTGCCTACAATTTTGTTCGGCCGTATCACCGCTGGGCATACACGCCTAGATGATTCCTGGAGCGAGGAAAGCATTGTGTCGTCGCTTCAGTTTGGAGATCAGTCGATCGACCAAGACAGTTCCGAAATGAGTGCTGAAAGCGGCTCCTCTTTTCACCTAAGATTAGACCTGGAGGAGGGCCTAGAGTCAGACGACGACAAACGAAGCGGAGATGGGACGGCAGATTTTCCGTAATTATGGCATCTACATTCGACACAGCCGTTGAACAACAGGTTATTTCTTTCGGGCGAGAATAATATGAAGATGCGAGTGTACAAGTTTACACGAAATCCATAGCGATCCGGGGGTTGTATCGCTAAAAGAGCATTTTGTCACGATGGAAGTATCATCTGGATGGTTTCAGATGTGCAATTTATGCCGCATAAATTGCGCAAAGAACTAAGTAGTCCAAATCAGTTTGGGCACTGCTCCTGGATGACTAATGCGTACCTTGCAATTGTACACTGCCGTCTCTAGAACAGTTCCCGTCCAGAGCTACATCAAGGCTCCGTATGTCGTCGGGTCGGAAGTATCTCTGTAAAGCATTGGTGAAATTGGATACGGAAGCAAGTAATACTGGACCGTGCAGTAAAGTGTTGAAAACCAAAGGTTTGTGTCAGAGGTGTTCGTTGTTGATATTCCTTTAATAACGGTCCGCACAGAAGCGCCTCTATCAATCCCCGCATTTCCGCCTGAGGGTACGCTTGTCAGCCTTCGAATGCCTAACAGAATTTTCGTTATTCACCTGTAACATTGATGACACGTCTAGAAAGTCAGAAACGAAAAAAAATTGACTATGCAAAGAGTCAGAATACGGATATGAGCGTCACTTCTAAGGGTTCTAACTCTCGATTGGCAGACCTCTGGACAGCTATAGGCCATGGTAGCATCTGGTTGGCCACCGCAGATGTTGATAAGGTCGGCAGTGTCGATGTTTTAGTCACACAAGTCTCAATGAAAGTCTTTTCTTCATTAAGCACTGCTAGACCTTTTGCTCTTGCAGTCGGGCGCACCGTGCAGGATATTACGAGCGCATATAACGAGACCAAAGAGGCTTCGTTGCATCTCAAGCTGATTTCCAGGCCCGTCGGCACCTTGGGGGTCGCCTACGAAGCTGAATAGCGGTCGGTACATAATTGAACTGTCTTGTTTCGACCAAAAGTATCGTATAAAGACCTGAGGAAAGCTTTAGAAAAGAATAAGAGATAGAAATTGCACGAACGACGCACCCAGTCGCGAGTCAGCATTTCAACGGCGATATCTTGGGCACCAAACACGCATATATACATTTTGAATTACTGCCAGCATGAAAATGACTAGTAGATGAGGCGTAAAAATGATGGATCTATAGGAATCAGGATATTCTCGCTAGTCAGCATCGAAGCGGCACCGGGATGTAGCAGGAGATGTACATTTTGTGGTCCTCAACATTGTACACAGCGTCAAAGCTATTCTGGAAGGGAGGTTTAGCAGAAAGAGGTAGCAATGTTGACAGAAATGAGGTTATTCATGGTTACCGGGAGGAAGGAAGGCTGTGACCGTGACGGCAAACCGTGGCCCGGAGGTACGGGTACGGGTACGTGGCCCGATTTCTTTCTTTCCTTCCACACGACCAACCGGACTGATTTTTGGAAATTCTTACCCTCTCGAGAGCGAACTCAACACGCCTTGCCTACGAAGCTCGTCGCCCCCGCCGCTCATGGAAAGGGCTGTTCTTGTAGCACGCTTGCAGTGTTCACCCGATACCTACCGATGATGAGATTGGCTCGTGGTCCTAGCGATATAAAAAGTGGGTTCGGTACCATCATCATTGTTGAAAATAACTGAATAAAATCATAGTTATAGCCTTTTTTCCTCACTACTTGCTTGCCAGAGCCTTCCTCTACGGTTGGTAGGCGGATGCATCGACATTTCGTATGCTGAGCGAGCCTACGAGCTTGGAGCACCGAATCATTCGATAAGCAAGGCAAGAGATGGAGATTGCGGCGATGGAGAAGCTTCTTGGTATGCCTGGTGCCAGTGGTGAGGCTGAGGCGGTGGGTACGACTGGTTTGGCATCATCATTGTCAACCCCGATGGGCTGACCGATGCCATATTATCGTATATGGTATTGGTAAGTCTATGGCGATTAGCGCGATGGTTCTGGACCTCGTTGTCCCTCCTGCTGCGCATGAAGTCCGCCCAGTCATCGGGCTCGGTATACGGATCGCGTTGTACGGTGCGCCAGAGCAGCTCCCGTTCTTCCGAAGCCTTCCTGTCATCGTAGCGGAATTTTCCAAGGAGGGTTAACAGGTACCACCTAATGTATTCGCCAGTATTGAGAGTCGGTGCGTCGTCTGGGACCTCGGTGGCGACATTGGGCCTATTATTCAAGATCGAGAGCAAGCGCCGATTCGAATCAAAGGGATGTGTAGGCGGCTTGTGGTTTGGTACAACAGGAATATTACTCCTCCAGGCCGTAACTCGATCGGTTACGGCGGAATGATTCCTCTACTACCAATGAGTACCCCAGTTTGTGCAATTGAACGATGCACTCACCAAAACTTCACCTTCACAGGCAAGTAACATCACATCCCTCTCATTCAACGAGGTTTCCAGGGCCCTTTCCCTTAGAGATACGACGTTTTCGTAGCCGAAGACGTCGATCTGCGATGCGGTGGTCAGTGGCGACTCCTCAACATACGCGATCGTACTCACCAAAGTGTAGGTCCAATCTTGCACCTCGGACACCGGTACCTCCCATTCCTCCATTTCCCGAGGCGAGTTCATAGTTGAAGTATACAGGTGAGTGTTTGTGACTTTGTGGATGTTGGACCAATTACAAATCACGAACCCTGAAGGCATGATGAGCCTTTGTTTTGTTTTTGGACGCCCAGCAAACCACAGTCAAGGGTGCCTCCTTCGTCGTCGAATATTAAGTTTTTACGCTGGTCGTTCTCTCTTGGTTTGGCGCGAATTATTGCTTGGTGCGCTAACGAAGAACCCGCGTTCGAATTATATCATGGACCGGCTCGCCACAGTGATAGACACCGTCTTTTTTCCCAAAATTTCCTCAAGAGTTGGCCTTTCTGGTCTTCACTTTTGCTCTCAGTGAGTTAAATGACCTACTAAATTGTAATGGACCCGGCTGGCCGGCATCCAAACTTGTGGCGTAGCGTCGACCTCGCTTCAAACGCCAACAGCTGTGAGGTACATGTTCACCGTTCAACTTGGATTATTTCGACAGGTGACTAAAAGAAATACTACAGAAATCTCAGGTTCCCTTGAGCGGTTCAAAGACCTATCCCCAACGAGTCTCGTAGGAAGGTGCCGTTGTCAGAGAATGCTCGCGGGAAGATGCTAAAATGACTCGCATTATCGGTGTCATACTTACTAGTACAATTGAATATTTCTTCACCATATGTTCAGGCGGGGACCGAGTCCCGGTGACTTGCGCGTCTTTATAATTGTAAAACTTGTTTTGTTGATCCACTGTCGAGTGGCTCATCAAGATCAACGGACCTCCGCAGTCTCAATGCCAGGTCTTACCTACTATTCCATATCCTAGGACCAGTACCTCTGGACTGGTTCAGCAATGGGAACTTCTCACATATATGTCGCACGCGTATATTGACCAGACAGTGTTGTCAAACGACGTGGTCTGATTCATGTAAAGAACTGGTCTCATCGTAAATCATTTTACATCGAAGTAATCGAGTGCCAGTCTCCCTCAGAGTTACGAAAAGATTTCGACAGACCGTGTTTGTTAACAGGCTGGCCATGAACTGACGACGACGGAAATGTCAGTTCAAACACTCGACATATATGACTATAAAGGCACCGTAGCGTATATCCAGGACACCGTACCATACATGTCTTCTAGCACGTACTTAGAGCGTTTGTATGGAACCGTCCTAGAAGAGATATCAGCACTGTTTGCGAAGATATGATGCCTACTCACGGGTCGGGCTGAACATGACATCCACAAGAGCCATGCGTCTGGCTGGTAAGGATAGTGAAGGCACTTGAAACCCGGAATTACGATGTACAGTCGCCCATTATCTAATTTTTTTTAGGATGTCCGAATCAATCCCGGATAGAGATGATTCCTGGACAAATGCGTTAAGACTAGTCGTGAAGAACAAGTTAATAAATGACGAACCAGGAAGTCGCCTCAATGATGGTGTCTTCTTCATTGCTCGACCTCTGCTCGTTGGTATGTCACATCACACAGAGGATCACAAACGCATATACCGAGACTGAGGTCTGAGGGGATGAGATACCCTAGGAGAGGTGATAAGATGTTAGGTCTGCTTGAAGATAAAAAACTAACCACGCACCGTATTTGCGAGTCGTCGCTGTCAACGATGATATCGGTGGTGCATTAGGAGCAATAGAACACACGTATTCGGCTGGTGAGCGCGGTCAACTCGTTGGACATGAGGCGTTTCCTGGAGACCTGGATGAATGTATCAAGACCCGCTGTAAAAAAAAAATTGAACAAACAACGCACCGGAAAATAGCCTCAATGATGGTCACCTTTTCCTTGCTTGACCTCGCTCTTAGGCTCCAGCACACACATCGCATTGACTGAGACCGAGGACGCGATGTCATATCTCAGGCTGATTCACAGTATTGAGCTTGATTCCTTTGATACCCGTAGATGCCTTCGCGTGGTCATCGTCGAGTCTATATTGTAGCCTGCCCATAATGGAGCCGTCATGCTTCGACCGCAAGTATTCTGTGGAGACCTAGAGAGCCCGAAAGCGTCAAGGAAGGATTAGAGAGAGGCTGCATGGACGACATACCCGGTCGCCAGTCAGTTTTTCAATTGCAGCATATTCGGTACCCAGCCAGCATATATGTGCCTTGCCTTCTCTCCAGCATGAAAAGGGCCGGTCAAGAGAAGGTAGAAGCGACGGATCTACGGAAATCAGGATGGTCTCGCCGGTCAGCAACGAGGTGACAACGGTATGTAGCAGGAAACGTACCATTTCTTGCTCTTCGCCGTCATAGACAGCGCCGAAACTACTCTGGAAGGGAGGTTCAGCAGAAAAAGGTAGCAATGTTGAGCGGAAGGAGGTTATTCATGGCCGTCGGGAGGATGGCCGTGACCGTGACGGCAAACCATGGCCTGATTTCTTTCTTTCCTTCCTTCCACCACGATAACCTGACTCACTGCCCGCAATTCTTACCCTGTCAAGAATTGACCTCAACCGGTGCTCGCTGTGAGGCTCGTTTTCCCCCGTCGTTCATAGAAAAGGCTGTTCTTTTAGCGCTCTTGTAGCGTGCACCCGAGACCTACCGATGAGGAGATGTCTTGCTTGTGGTCCTAGTGATATCAAAGGTGCGTCCAGTACCATTATAATTCTTGCAAAAAATGAATAAAACCATAGCTACGTTTACTCGCTATCTGCATGCCCGAATCTTCCTCTTGTGAGCGGACCTGTCAGCGTGATGGAGCGAAGCCGTACGGGTATCTAGCATCGAGGATGGAAAATGGTGGCTGCAGCGTCGGCGAGGCTGCTTGGAATGCCTCGTGCCAGTGATGAAGCTGAGGCGGGAGATTTGGCATTGTCGCCGCCAACCCCGATGGGCTGACCGGCGACATATTGTTGTATACGTTGTTGGTTATCTCATCGCGACTGGCGGGACGGTTCCGGGTCTCTTCGTCCCTCCTGCTGCGCATGAAGTCCTCCCAGTCGTCGGGCTCGGTATGCGGATCGTGCTGTAGTTGTACGCTACGCCAGACTACCTCCTGCTCTTCCCAGGCCTTCCTATCGTCGTAGCGGAATTTTCCAAGGAGAGTTAAGAGGAACCACCGAATGTATTCGCCAGTACGCAGGGTCGGCGCGTCGTCCGGGACCTCGCCGGGGACATAGTCCATGCCGTTCAGGATCGATAGCAAGTGTCGGTGAGTATCGAATGGGTGAATAGGCAGCTCGTGACTCGGTACGATAGGAATATTGCTCCTCTAGGCCGTAACCCGATCGACAATGGCAGAATGATTTTTCTGGTCCCAATGAGTTCCCCAGTTTTTGTAATTGAATACGATGTACTCACCAAAACCTCACCCTCGCAGGCTAGTAACATCGCGTCCCTCTCATTCAACGGGGTTTCCAGAGCCCTCTCCCTCAACGCCTTGACATTTTCAAAGCCAAAGACCCCGATCTGCGATGTGGCGATCAGTGGCGATTCCTCAACATACGCGATTGTACTCACCAGGATGTACGTCCAGTCGCGTATATCGGACATTGGAGCCTCCCAGTCCTCCATTTCGCGGGGTGGGTTCATTTTGGAAGTTTCCAGGTGAGCGTTGGTTACTTTGTGGGTGTTGGACTAATTACAAATCACGAGCCCTGAAGGCATGAGCCTTTGTTTTCCGTTCGGACATCTGGCAAGTCACAACCAAAGTATGTCCTTCTTCAGCGATTATTACCTGCTCAGGCTGAACGCTCGTTAGTTGCGCACTCTCGAGTTCTTTTTTTAGCCAGTTCGCCAAGGTGATATCAGACTCGAACAGGGCCCCCATCAGAATTTCTGCCAGTGATGATCTCCTTGATCGTCTTTTCACTTTCATGCCTTCATACTTACCCACTAGCCAAATCCTCGCAACAGATCTCGCGGCCAATCCTTCGGTACACCATCAACTTCGCCTCGCATGTCCGCCGTGATAACGAATTCACGTAATGTTGCCTCGGATATGAGGCCTGTACGATGATTGGATTTTTCTCTAGGGCTTTTTCTGTGTACTCGGTTATATCTTTGTGATCGCAAAAATGGATTTTGACTTCGTTGAACTAGGGCCTGGTCGCAACATGGAAAACAGTGTCGTAAAACACGACTATCTAAGTACCATCTCTTCCTGCCCATTGCGACGGGACCCTCTGCTGACAACTTTAGCATCCTCAGTGGCACTTTCATCAGGGAACGATCGGACACAGTTGACCTTCACATGTATTGCTTGATGCAACTTCCTAATTAGCGATCCTAAAGGATCTTTCAGAATGTTCGTCACATTTCGATATCAAGCATCACATCCTCAAACGATACCAGGGATGTCCTACACCGTATTTGACGAGGTACTGATGCTTCCCCAAGTCATCGGCACTGATTAACTTCGAGTCGTAGCCTCATCTTCACTCGAATTTCAAAAGACTGATGCTCGAGTTTAAGTTAGGATTCATACAGTATAGCTCCACGATGGGGATCAATGACCACTTTGAAGATAGTCGCATCCAAGCGCTCAAGAAACCCGTTAAAAATGTGTATCTCATCTCGCCGAGAGGTACAAAGTCCCCTCTCGTCCTGGACTTGTAACGCATGTAAAAAGGTTGGCGGCAGCTACAAGCGGTGAAGGGCGTCGTAATGGCGTGTCGCATTTGTGGCACATTTGTCCCATGATTTATAGTAGACGTCTAAAAACGCAGCAAAAAGCATAAGAGGGACCCAGATCGAAGCACGGTCAAGGGTTCACTGCGGTCCCGATTTTTCGACCTGGATCAGCTACCTAGATCATACTAGGTTTTTTTCATGGCTTTCTTAATATATCTGTTACCTATCTATCTTCAATCACTTCCTCTGACTGATGGCAGATTCCTTCATCCTTCCAGGAAATAATTCAGTCCTGATACCCATCTGTCTAACCTCCAGCCTTCTTCAAATGAGACGCTGACGCCTGGGCCGGTTCAAACACCAATGTGCGGTGGGAACTTCGTCTACTACAGCCGTTGAGTTCGCATTTTTCTCTCCTGCGAGCTCCGTTCTTCTCGGTCTTCCTAGAACCCATGAGTCATCCAACTCATCAGAACAGATTTTTGATGTTTTATTTTGTACGCACCTCTCTTTGAATCCAACAAGCCTTCTTTTGTCCAATACTGAATCCGTGATAGATTTGCTATGCATCATCATATATTGATATAGTGCCGTATTACTATATAATGAACTGGCCTCGGTAACAAGAAGCAATACTCTCCTCTTTGAGATTTGTCTCCGAGTCGCTGCCATGATCGCTAACACGTCTACAGGGATTGACACCCTGGAGCTCACCGACAGCGAGATCGAAGCTATTTTTCGCTATCTAGACAAACAATTCAATCAGGTGATGCTACAGGCACTAACACATGGTAAGATATCATCTCTCTGCAGCTCGCGGGAGATCGTCCGCCAATCCTGGTTTCTTTTCAAAGGGATTTACACTGGTATAGTGGCTGTCACCTTGTGGGCAATTGGTCATACTTTTCGTTCCTTTCACATGTGTCTCTCTAACTTGCACGACCAGCTTCGAGAAAAAAACCCCGAATAACAGAAGGCCTTTTTTTCTTGTTCTTATCATCCTTCTTTTATACCTTTTAACGGCAGTGGGCTTCTCTTGTGAATGGCGGATTAATATCTCAATATTTATCATCAACGGTAAAACATTTTGGACGGCATACAAATCGAATATCCCCACTCCGATCCTATTGGTCGAAGGGATTGAAGCACTTCTGAGCACGATTCTTGCTGATGCTAGTTTGGCATGGGATTTCACCTTTGCTTTTGGAGTGCTTGCTTACGAACTCATAGATATGGCGCTGTTGGGTTGTCTGGGACCGGTCATGGCGCGTTGTGCTCGTTCCAATTGTCTGCACTACCTTGACAATAAGTACGTCTTCGAATTCATGATCCGGCACTGATTTTACGATCTATGAGCACTAATGTAGACCCAGTCAGTAGAGCGATCGTAACTTATTACTCCGCTTTTGGACCTATCGAAAATATGTCGCCCCGAGCCCTATACCTCGCAAACATTGTCAACTGGGCCGTACTATACTCCTCGTTCATATTGGCCACCTTGCTATGGTGCACAATTTTCATTGTTTATCGCATCCTGAGAGTGACCGGTATTGCTGGGATGCGTGTATACCATAGGGTCGTAGAGATGTTCGTAGAATCGGCGTCTCTCTACTCTACGGTATTAATCGTTCTGCTTGTGTTCGAAGTTCA